ATATATAACTTACCCAAATTCTTGGGAAACGGCATTCCATGTGCAACAATAGTTGACTCCAGAGCTACGACCGGTTTATTCTGCGCCAGGGCATTCTGCACATCCTGCGACACTCTCAGACTACTTGCGTTGAAGGCGAAAACATTGCGGACAGACATACGTAGCATTGTAGACAATCGTGTCGAAAGCCTTGTTGGCAAGTGCGTTGAAAGCATTGTTGACGTGTTTGATGTCAAACGCGGAAAATGCTGCTTGGACCTAAGTCTCAGTCCTAACATTCTTCGAGATAACAGCTTAATTGCGACCAGCGCCCTTAGATATGACTAAAGGGTTGGATACGAGTTATGACTAAATAGAGCGTATGGAGAGGTATTTACATACTATCCGTTTGTAATTTATTATTCCATAAGGCAGGATGTTCATATCATGCACATAATAGTGTTCGATGTATTTATCAAGCACGTAAATAAAGTGTCATTTCTAAAAAGTAGTGTCATTTTTTATCGTTACAACTTGTGCCATATCTATTATTGCGTCACTCTTTTGTATATTCTACTCTAGGGGGGTATATAGCCATAAGCCAATTATGTTCCATTATTTTAAATACTTTCCAGGTATGAAAAATCTATTTTAAAAGGTTTCAACAGAAATCTTCAGTGATCGCTATACAACTGTTGGACAAGCGGAAACTTCTAACCAATAACAATTGCTTTATTATTGACATGATTCTCATACCATTGGCCAAATGAAAAATGTATGCATCATTTATCACTTTAATCTCTTGCATAGCCAATTGAGGAGTGTATCTTTGTTTGTTTTAGTTATAAAAGAAAAAAGCACTGATCAATTTTTAAATTTTACCAGTCGTAGAAGCGGACGGTCACATTGGAACTAGGACAGTCCAGTCCTATACCCAGGACAGTGGACGGATCTACCTCAAGGGCCTTAGGACATCAGACACGCATGTTACTCTCTAGAGAGAACAAGAATACGTCAGTAGTCTGAGACTCCTACAAGTTCCACCTCGGCTGTTCTGTCGCTTCCCGTCCACTATGGTGAGCGATGGACATCATCTTCTTTTCCCTCTGGGAGAAGGCCAAATTCTCAAAAGAATACACCCGCTTCCTCGCAGATGATGCTCGGGACGATTTCCTCCTCCGGCATGTTGATCAGGCTATCCAGATCAAGATGATGGCTGAACTGGGCTATGGTGCCACAGTACCGATCATAGAACGTTTCTTGATCGCACATTACGGGGCGTCAGCACATCTCTGCCGTCCTGAGAATGTCTCGGAGCTTTTGGATCAAGCGAAACGTCTCAACACCGTGTATTACCGTGATGACCGCACCAAGCTGCTTTACCTCTCCGATTTCGCTAAGAATGGTGTTCTGTCGTTTGCTTACCGCCTGGCCTAGAAAGTAAACCCGGCCAGACCTGCTAGCAGTCCACACGGTGGCACCATAATAGGTATGTTTAAGTCTGCTGAATCCTGTATTGGAGTCGAGAGTTCGTACATGCCCATGAGAATGGCCTTAACCACCACTCTCCCGGCACTGATGTCAATCTAAGCCTTCTTTGTTCCACGAGATGCTACACTGGATGATCGCTCCAAGTACCCGATGCACAGCACAGTTCACGGACAGCAGCGTTCTCTAACCAACCGTGACCGGCCTCACAATCGACTTCAACGCCCCCGCTCTCATACCACGGGTCGCTTATCACATCCTCCAGTCCGCACGAACCGGGCACGCTTGGCAACAACAACGCATGTCCCAAGGTCTCGACAACAGGACGGACGTCGTAGTATGCCAACGCCAGCACCCACACGACGTTGTACGTCATCATCTGAACGACTTGCTACACCAACGGTGCAATCTGAGATAACACGACGATGGCCAGACCGTTACAGACGTGACCCCGACCGACGGGATAGTCAGCACACTAATCGATGTTTGCCACGTTACGACCACCAAGAGCTGTACCCGCCGTTGTTCGAAGAAATAACCCTCAAGGCACCACATTCATCATCGAACACCCAGCGGTTTCGTGCATTTTGGAACAAATACGATACGGACCTCGCACAACGAGCTACGCACGAACGAGTGTTTTTCAACAATTGTAAACTTCGATGGAAATTACTAGGTTTCAAACTATATTAAACTAAAATACAATTTAGTCAGTTAGGA